TTACTATACAAATATTGCGCATACTTCTTACCTATATCTGTACAGTATACGTATGCATATTCTCTGTAAATTTAAAAATAAAATTTATGTAATACAATTATCATATCTTCTTTCATGTTTTTCTCATCAATAATAATAGTTAATATCCACCTATTTCAATCCTCAAAAATCTCACTTTAATCATGAGATATTTGTAGTGCTTGATTAGAATTTTCCTCGTTAGCTCTTTCCTTAGCACTCATACTTCGTAGTAATTCTAATATACGCCCTCGTTCTCCAAGAATTCGACGTCCAGATTCCGTTCGATTAATGTTTATTTCTTGTGAAAGATTTCTTTGTTCAGTATTGGAAGTTGAAGCACTATGTCCGCCTCCATAAGATAAAATGCAAGAATGTACGTAGGCTGTTGGAATGTTCTTTAATTTTTAGCATTGATTGTGTTTCTCACATATGCGGTCTAAAATAAAGATTGTTTTTTTTTACATTGAGAATGGAAACTGAAAGAAAAACGAAATTTATTATTAAATAAATAAATGCATTATTAAATAAATGCATTATTAATAAGTAATAAGTAAATAAGTTATCGAATAAAAATTATTGAATAAATGCAACATAAATAATCAAATAATAATACCTTTGATCGATAAAAAGCATCACAGTTTGTGCACAGTTTGTTTCCATTTTAATTAACGAGTACGTGTGAAACTTTCACTATTGCATACAGCATTACTTTGATTGGTTTCGGAAGTTTACCAAAGTCACTATTACTGTTATTATTATTATTATTATTATTATCATTATCATCATCATCATCATCATCATCATCATCATCATCATTATTATTATTATTATTATTATTATTATTATTACATTATTATTGTAAAAAACTCTTATTGTAATAGCTAGTGCGATATTGATGCGTACTAGACTGTAATTCATTCAATGCTATCTCGAGCCACGATGGTATGAGAATATACTCATGGAGAGCACATTATATATAGAGGCGTTTCTCATTCATATTTCAATACGTTTGCGGAACATGACTTTATTATAAGTTATTTTCAGCATAAAATGTTCTTTAATTTTTGTCATTATAAAAATTTAAAAAATTTTTAAATTTAGGGATGAGAGTGGGAATATGTAATAAACAAATAAATAAATAAATTTTTTTATTATAGTTATGAAGTACTCTTGCAACCATTCTATTTTTATTTAAAATTTTTCTCTATCTTTTATAGTTTCGACGATATTCAATCTGAAAGAAAAAAACCGATTTTTTTCAAGGGAGGATTTCACCTCTTTAATATGCGACTCAGCATATATAAAAAAATACATGTTTCCTATTTTTGTTATAGAATAACATACTGAAAGCTCATTTAAATGAAGAGGTTTATTTGATTCCCTTGTGAGTCCAAAACACTTTTTAGATTTATTTTCAACACATACAATCTTATAAATTTATTTTTGACGGTAAAATGTTGTCGCTTATTGCATTTTTAGCTGGCGATATCGTTCGCGATTATTGTGGAATTCTTTACATTATCTTAATTATCATTATTTCTAGTCCAACGGTAATAAATGCGTTTATTTTTCTGTCATTCTTATTTTAGATAGCAATTTGAATAAGCAAAAAAGAAAAACCAATAATTCGTCTCTTGGTACTTATATATTAATGTAATTATACTAGAAAACATAAAAAATATATTATTTGAACAAAAAGAATCCTAATAACAAAGTCATTATTAGATAATTAATTATGCATATATCATGCATAATATTATGTTAAAATATGGAATATTTGAAATAATTCATAACAGAATCTAGTTGCTCAATATATTATTTATTAGAAATGCAAAACAAATACATGCAATACTTGTCGACTTAAAAATTAAACGTGTTTAAAAAGAGATACAGTGCATTCCAGTTATATGTATAATAGTAATGATAATAATTTAATAAATAAAATATTTCATAACAATGCCTTTACGATGTCGATAATAGAAGTTATCCTTTCTGTAAGAAAATGAACTCATCTATATACAAAATTCTAGAAATTATTAAATTATGGCTAAAAATCTATTATAATGTAACGTTTTAACATTCAGAGATATTCATGACTTACATAGTGCGTATTTCATTTTTTTTCACAGACAAAGACCCTGTAAACTTAAAGCTGCTAGTACTGATTGTAATAAAGGACATATTAATTGTTGCTGCAACATTCAAAAAAATTCTCTATAAGTAATAAATGATTTTTATTCAATTCTATTACTATTATAAATATAATATAAATTACACAATCTTATTTATTTATTTATTTTCGTAATGTTTAATCAAAAGTATTAATTTTAAAACACAAGTAGTAAAATTTCATAATTATTAAGATAGTTTTTTATGATATTAATTTCTGTATTCATATTGAAAAAAAAAATTTTTAAAGTAACGTTCAAAGAAAAAAAATAGACTTTTAATCATAGCTCAATAAATTATCCAGAAAATATAATTAATTAATATTCTTGAGGCTTCCACGGACGCTTTCTATATAAAGATTATGCGATTTCGCGGGCATCTTCCATGCTTGGAAAGCCAATGTTCCATGAATTTTATATCTCAATGTTTCATGAAATTTATCAGGATTGGCTGGATTTATTTGATGAGGAGGTACATAATACCGTTTGGTATGTGTGAAAACTGATAGTATAATAAATCATTTTTGTTCATAGGTACTTTTTTATCTTTTTTTCGAATATGTATTCTAATTTTCTTGTATTCTAATAATAAATATAATTTTTTGTGTAATTTCTTTTTACATAATCCTTACCAAAAGCAATGTTATTAGGGATACACCGCCTGGTGGCGATAATGGTCCATTGCCTCCAACATGATCACCATGAGGGGAGTCAGGAGGTTTTGAATGAGATAGTACTTTATTTCGATCAACAGTCTAATAATTAAAAAAAAAAAAGAATAGAAGACTGAATCAAAAAAAGTTTAATAATATTAGATGTACAACTACGCTTCCGCCGTTTTTTTTCCGAAATTCGGGGCTTTATTGTAAAAACTGGTTATACAGTTATGATTAGTATTGTCCATCGCTGGTCCCTACTTTCTCCCATCTTTCGGGTAGCGTACGAATCCCGCGTCGAAAAAACTGGTCATCTTTTGAGGCTATCCACGAATCGATCCAATTTTTTACTTCTTCAAGACCGGAAGTGCTGATCAGCCAGGCCGTGTGCCATTGATGGAAACAAGTGATAGTCAGAGGGAGCAACGTCTGGAGAATACGGTGGGTGGGGTAGGACTTCCCATTTCAATGTTCCAAGTATGTCTTGACCACTTTCGCAACATGGGATCGAGCATTGTCATGCTGCAAAATCACTTTATCGTGTCTCTCGTTGTATTGCGGTCGTTTGTCTTTCAATGCTCGGCTCAATCGCATCAATTGCGTTCGATACCGATCGCCGATGATTGTTTCAGTCGGTTTTAACAGTTCATAATACACTACGCCGAGCTGGTCTCACCAAATACAGAGCATGACCTTGGACGTCAAAATCACCGTTCTTGAAGCGTTGAAACGTTTCACTCACGACAAGTTCTTTCACTAATAACGGCCTCACCATAAATATTTGAGAGCATTCGATGAGCATTCGATGAGCCTCAGCCGCAGATTTTTTCATATTGAAACAAAAAATTAAAACCTCCTGCAAATGACGAGAATTTGGCTCGTAAATTGACATTTTCAATCGAGAATAACTTTATGATGCTGACACAAATCGACTAATGTTTCTATGGGGTTATGTTGACAGATGCCCAAGTTTATTGTATGACATCTATGATCTATTTATTTCGACCACAACTTACCGCTAAAGCCATCTATAGGAAAACGGCGGAAGCAAAGTTGTACACTTAATAGTTAATTTAGCTGATAATTTCAAAGCACAAAATTTTCAAGTTTATTAAATAAATATAAACTCTATTAAATGGGAATGATTCAGAAGCAAGGAAATTGGGTGCCGTACGAATTGAAGCCGAGAAATGTTGAACGGCGTTTGTTTGCTTGTGAACAGCTGCTTGAAAGACAAAGATGGAAGGGATTTCTGCATCGCATTGTAACTGGGGATGAAAAATGGGTTCATTACGATAATCCCAAGCGCAGAAAATCATGGGGAGTTCCCGGCCATGCTTCCACGTCGACGGCCAAACCGAATATTCACGGCTCCCAGGTCATGCTCTGTATTTGGTGGGACCAACTCGGCGTAGTGTATTATGAACTGTTAAAACCGACTGAAACAATCACAGGCGATTGGTATCGAACGCAATTGATGCGTTTGAGCCGAGCATTGAAAGACAAACGGCCGCAATACAACGAGAGACACGATAAAATGATTTTGCAGCATGACAATGCTCGACAATGTTGCGAAAGTGGTCAAGACATACTTGGAAATGTTGAAATGGGAAGTCCTACTTCACCCGCCGTATTCTCCAGACGTTGCTCCCTTTGACTATCACTTGTTTCGATCAATGACACACGGCCTGGCTGACCAGTACTTCCGGTCTTATGAAGAAGTAAAAAATTGGATCGATTCGTGGATAGCCTCAAAAGATGACCAGTTTTTTCGACGCGGATTCGTACCCGAAAGATGGAAGAAAGTAGTGGCCAGCGATGGACAATACTTTGAATCATAAATGTATAACTAGTTTTTTACAATAAAGCCTCGAATTTCGGAAAAAAAACGGTGGAAGCAAAGTTGTACACCTAATAATTGTACATAATTGTGTGTATATAAAAATATATACACATTTTTAAATATAATTATATAAAAAATTCAAGGTGTTTCGCAATAGTTAACAAGATATTAATCACTAAAAATCGCTGCATATTGCTCAATAATTTTTTACTCAAAATGCTATCAATTTTACAAGAAAAGTGAGAAAAAAATTGTTATTTTCTTCTCATAAAATTCTGAGAATTTTTTCAAAATTTTTTCAGAATTTTCTAATATTGTATTATTTTATCACAATGGTATTTTCTCAAAATAGTTGTAAATAAAAAATGCAGTACTAAAAAGTTAATAAAAAATTGTGAACAAATTCTTAGAGTTTTATGAGAAGAAAATAAACAATTTTTGTCTTTTGCAGTTTTTTCATGAAGTTAATAATTCGAGATAAAGAAAAAAAGAAAAATTATTAAAAACCAATATTCGGCAATTTTTAGTAATTAATATCTTGTTAATCATTGCAAAAATTGCAAAATGATAGAAGATTTTTTGACTCAGTTTAGTCCGCTCTATGTATTAAAAGAGCGTTTGGTAAAAAATTTCGGGGCACCCTGTATATAATTTTAGATATAATCAATACAATATAATTATATATAAATATATATGAAACATTTTTTCCCGGGAAATTAAAACAAATAGATAAACGTATTATATTCTGAAGATATATTATAATCTTAAACTAAATAGGAATAATAATTCTGCTAAAATATTCATTTCTTTATTATTTCTCCAAATTTTTTTTATTTATATGAAAAATATTTTTATATATACTTTTTGTGATATTATTTTCTTTTGTCAAGTTGATTGTAATAATGAAAACTGTTTTTAATAAAATTTCTTTAAAATTATTATGTACCAATTTGTGATGTATTCTTATAATATATTGATAAATACATACCGATTTTGCAAAAACGATTCCGATGAGGGTCAACAATAGAAGAATATAGAATGCCTTCATGGTTAAAAAATACGTCAAACTCAATGTGTATTATACTTATAGTTTGAAAATTCTAGGTTTTTCTCTGCGAAGTATTTCTTCTCTTCTAGTAAAACCAATTGGCAATTGAAATATTTTGTTGTGCCTTTGACTTATTATAAACTTCTTTATAAAGGAATGCTATATCTTATCATTCTTTAAAATTGTGCTACAATTATAAAATTACTGTTGCTATACTTTTAAAAGTAATCATTTTCATTATCCTGAGTGAATATTATTGTATATATTAACATATATGTCATTGAAAAATTATATAACGATCCCAATTATGGGTCGTGTTCTAATTACAGATCAAACTTGCAAAATTACAACGTTTTACAGATATACATATATTAATAAATTTCTAAAATTTTCGCATTTTTGTTCTTTTGTGATTATATTGTAATATAAAGTTACTTTCTCAATCATTAGTAATATAATAAATTAAGAATATGTAATGACAGAGTATTCATTATTTAAGAAAAAATATTTAAGAAAAAAAGCGAAATGTTACTTTAATTATTTAATATTTTTTTTAAATTATAATGCTCTTTAATAGTGGATTGTATTTAATACACTATAACATTGTATAAATTAAAACAATGAATTTTAATATTGTTTATTACTGATATAAATATCTAATTTTTATTAGTAATACCTAAACTTTAAACGCGTTTTTCTCGAAATCATATTTCTCAAATCCGTTGACTTTATAAAACTAATAATAATTCTCAAAAACTAATAATAGAATTGTCTTTATCTTATGAATAATTTGAAATAATAAATCTATATAACTTCTGTGTAAACCTATGTAAATAATAAAATGTTAATAATAAATTTTTTTTACTAAAAAGTATGTCTAAAAATAATAAAAATCTAATTTTTTTTCAAACAAATTTTAAAAACTGTTATAATTTTTTTACCTGAAACGAGGTTCCTACGGAAGAGATATTAATAACATAATAATATAACATGTCTGTGAAGTTAGCACTCCATCACAAAAAAAATAAAAATTTGCGCGTATGCCATAATTGCTAATTTAGTGCTAATTTATTGCTCTAGTCCCAAATTTTATCCATTCTTTCCATTCGCAAGAAATTAATTTCAAAAGTGGCGATGGTGACTTCACGTCATGCTAGCATTCCCACATCAAAACATAAAGAACTGTAAACAAAAAAATACATATACTAAAACTTTTTGTTACTTTTTTGCTTTAAGATATTGCAAAGAGAATTGCTTCGAGAATTTTGAATAATTATGCTTTCATCACTATAATATCGATCACTGTACGTGCGCTAGCACCGCATTAAAAGTTGACTTTTTTACTTTAGTGTGGTCAAAAGTGTGGCGCTAGCTCGCGTACGTAAGAGTGAAGTATATAAAGTATATAAAAGCAATTAATTGCTGGGCCAATTTTGATCTTTGTTTCTAGAATTATTTTGAGGTTATCCTGATTCTGAATTTATTGCTCATTGTTTAAGTTACAAAAATTTTATCAGAAGCGTCGCGATGTTAGCGCACGTATAGTGATATTGGTATAAGTATAATAATTCAAAATTTTCGAAATTTCTTTGCAATATCTTAGAGTAAAAAAGTAGCAAAAAATTTTGATATATGTATTTTTTTGTTTACAGTACTCTGTATGTGTTTTACGGAAGTGGAGGTAACATGAAGTCAGCATCCCCACTTTTGAAATTAATTGTAAATAAAAAGAAGCACAAAATTCGGGATTACAGCAATAAATTAGCACTAAATTAGTACTTAATTATGGCTTACGGACGAATTTTTTTGGTGGTGGGGGTGCCAGCTTCACAGACATTGTTGGCGATCTTGCTGAGCGCGAAGAAATCGTAATGGCGTGGTCAGGCGATCACCCGTCCGAGCGTTTCCCGCGGTATTAATGCTTTGAGGGCACTCGATCGAGAAAAATGAAATCTTCTCTGCTTTCCAAATTTTTTATTAAAAATGCCTCGAGCGCGGGCGAACGTGTTTCACAGCGGATACGGAAAGGATCTTAGCGGTAGCGCGGCGATGACCTTCCACGAGATACGTGCAGAAGATGAAAACAGTTTGTTTTTTTGGTTGCCAAAACGATCTGATATTTTTTTAATCGATTACGCATGC